ACTACAGGCACATCATACTACATGTACATCATGCAACAGGTACATCAAACTGCATGTACATCATACTGCATGTATATTATACTGCATGTACATCATACTGCATGTACATCATGCCACATGTACATCATACTACAGGCACATCATGCTACAGGTACATCATTATAGGTACAACATCATACTACAGGCACATCATGCTACAGGTACATCATACTATAGGTACACCATGCTGCATGTACATCAAACTGCATGTACATCATACTACATGTACATCATGCTGCGTGTACATCATACTACAGGCACATCATGCTACAGGTACATCATACTATAGGTACACCATGCTGCATGTACATCAAACTGCATGTACATCATACTACATGTACATCATGCTGCGTGTACATCATACTACAGGCACATCATGCTACAGGCACATCATGCTACCGGTACATCATACTGCATGTACACCATGCTACGTTTACATCATGCTGTGTGCACATCAGTCCAGGCAGAGGAATGCACGTGCCAAGGCCCAGGGACCTGAACTCCAGTCTGTGATGGTGTGTGGCGGTCAGGAGAAGGAAGCAGCAGGCGTTGAGCTGGACATGTTCAGGCCAGTTTGTCCGTCTGTCCGAATGCCATGCAAGCCCTCTGGTCCGTGGAGGGTTCAGATGTGTCTAAGCGGCCAACGAATATCAGCAGGGTTTGTTTCAGAGGTTGCGCCGTTGTCCATGTAGAAGCGGAAGCCGCACGATGTATGCACCGGATGCTTCCCTCAGAAATCCTTTCATGCACCCACCCCCACTTTTTAAAGGATTTTGAATTCATGACCAATATTTAAAATCAGAGATTTTTTTCATGGGATTCTGGACTTCGGCTTCTCTTTAGACGGGACACACGCTGTCCAGTCCGCCTAAGCCCACCCCTGCCTGGGCCCTGCGGGTGTCAGGGGTGGGAGTGGGTCCCAGGAGCTCAGGGCCCCACCCTGTGGGCGGCCTGGGCATCTATATGTGTCAATGGCCCAGGCCATCCTCATGTGCAGCCAGGCCCAGCAGCCACTGGCCTGGGCAGAGGCGGCCCGGGTGAGGGTCAGCAGTCGAGGTGGAGACCAATGGGATGTGGGCTGAGGCAGGGGCAGGGCAGACCCCCGTGTGACACAGGAACTGGGCTTGGGCACCTGGGGGCGGATGATGCCACCTGCTGCGAGGGGACAAGGAGGAGGTGGGCAGGGGAAGGCGGCCCCTGGTCCGAGGGCTGTGTGTGCAGCTGTCCAGTGCTGCTGTGACCCTGCATTCTCAGCCTGGGGAGCAGGGACTGTCCTAAGGGGAGAGCTTCCCCCAGGGCCGTGGGCAGACGGGGCTCACTGAGCAGGGCTTCTCTCCTCTGCCTGGCTTGTGGGTGCTCGGGACCCGCTGAGCGACTCTGCCCAGAGGAAAGCGGGAAGACCCCTTCTCCAGGTCCAGTCACTGTCCCTTCTGTGCTGAGTGGAGCAAGGCCGAGACCACGTGCCCACTTTACAGACGAGCGAGGACAGGGAAGCAGACGCTTAGTGCCCACTGCTTGCCAGGGACTTCCTGTGGGTTTTCATATACATGACTCTCCCATCTATGTATGAAGTGGGTTCTCGTTCCCATTTTCCAGATGAGGAAACCGAGGCTTGGGAAGTTTAAGGGTTTCGCCCAGGTACTCACCAGCTTAGAGTGGCAGAGTTGGCGGCTAAGCCCTGCTGTACTATGGGTGTTGGCTTTCTTACCTGCCCCGTCACCGTCATTTCACCATAACCTCGGCTGGGCGCACGCACAGACTCACACACTGCCCACCTCTCCTGACACCTTTACTGTGCACGGTGCCCCCTCAGCTGCCTTCAGGTGCCTGGTGGAGCCTTCAGGACTGTTCTGGCCTCCATTGCTCCACGGACCCCTCACTCCCCCAGGGCTGTGTGGTTGTTCTGTGAAGGGACAGGCGGGGACTGAGGCCTCCCACCCCCGAGGGCACGGCCACTACCCGGCCCAGAGTGCTCCCATGGTTGGTCTCTGTCACCTTTCAGCACGTGTCCCGCGTTGTCCCGCCATCGGCAGCACTGCCGGGTCCACCAGAGAACCAAGCGGACACCAGGGAGCATGTCTGGCAGACTCCGGCGGACGCTGCCCGGGAACGGTGCTCACAATGAGTGGGAAGCAGCCTTGGGCGATGCCGGGATGCGGCTCTCTTGGCACGGCTGTCAGGAGCACTTCATTAGATGCTGCTGGCTGTGTGGGTGCTGCTGGCGGTGTGGGTGCTGCTGGCTGTGTGGGTGCTGCTGGTGGTGTGGCCACGCGGCCGGGACCGAGCTCCGAGTCGAGTCGAGTCGAGTGCGCGGTTGGTGTTTGTTCCTTCTGAGCGCCGCGCGGTCGGTGCGGCTGCAGGCGCCATCGCTCAGGGTGGGGTCGCCAGAGCTGCAGGTGGGTCTTAACAGAGCTGGCACTTGACACTGATAATGCCCGTCCCAGGCGACGGCTCTGCCCTTGGTGGGTCCGGTGAGGGACGGCCTGTCACTCACTGGTGTTCAAGGGTGGAGGTCATTGCCATGGGGGTCCGGACACAGCGGGGCCCCGGCGGGGCCTCAGGGCGATGCTCCGTGAGGGTGGCGCTCGCCATCACTAATTCTTGCTGCACATGGCCCTCCCGCTGCTCTGCAGATGGCGCTGCTCCTCGCTGGTCCTGGCCCAGCCCGCGTGCCCTTCCTAACCGCCTCCCTCCTTGTTCTGGCAGAGCCCTCACCCGGTGGCGTCACATCTGCGTTTCCCGAGGGCTTTCGCGTAGAGGCACGGGTGTCTGGGAGGGCTGCTTCTCCTGCTCCTCGGCGACCTGGTCCCCTGCGGGCCCGCGGTGCTCTGCGGCCCGCTCTGCGCGGGGCTGTCCACGCGGACGCTCTGGAAGCTGCCGGCGTGGCTCGAGGGCAGGCTGCGCAGGGAGCCGCCCACGGTGAGCCCGCTCACCTGGTAGGTCAGGAAGCTGCTGCCCGGGCTGATGAAGCCGAGGCTGGCCAGGCTGCTGGCCCTGCTGTCGGGGGTGCTGCCGTGCAGGCTGGGCTCACGTTTCCCCTCCAGGCTGCGGGGCGCTTGGGGCTGGGCTGGCCGCCGGGCTCTTCAGCTGGTCGGGGCGGTAGGCGGCGCACAGCTGGCTGGTCTGGGTGACGATCGCTTGGGTTCCGAGTCTTCTACTCAACTGCAGGGTGCGTTTGCCGCCCACCAGGCTGACCTCGCTGTTCTCCTCGTCCCCCGCGTACCCGCTGCTCCGCTGGCTGATGTGGCCCCCCTTCTGCAGGCTGCCCTGTCGCACGCTCCGCAAGCTACTGTCGCTGCTCCTGCTGCTCCAGGCTGGTCCCAGGTTACTGCCGGGGACTTTCAGGGGCTCCGGGGTGGCTCCTGTGTCATGGCATGGCCGCAGGGGTGGCTGGCACTCTAAGTAGGGTGGCTGTAGGCTTACATCTTGGCCCTGGACATTCCAGTCACAAGAGTCCCCTTTCCTGTCCTGGAGGAAAGTGGGGGGCAGCTGAGCTGGCTTATCCAGAGGGAAGGAGCCCAGGGAGGCTTCTGGATGTTGGGTGTGCTTGTCCGGGCAGGGGAGGCTCAATGTCTAAGGCGCCCTTTCAAAACAGAGCGCTCTGATTGGCTGGCCTGGTTGCCATGGTGATGGGGTTTGTGAGGTGCCGGTGTGGGGTGAGGCAACAATGGTCTCCTGGCGCTGGTTACACTGATGGCCGGGCTGGAGTGGGGCAGAGGAGCCCGGGCCAGGAGCAGTGCGGGTCACTTTCTGGGGGCCACGGCCTCTGTTGGGCCGGGTCGAGGCCTGGGCAGGCATCCCAGCTGAGGACGCGTCTCTTTAGCCTCCCGCTCCTGGCCGAGCGGCTGTAGGAACGGCAGAGAATGCAGATCAGAGCCCCGAGCTCAGCCTGAATCCCTGTCAGAGCTGGCCTGCCTGGTCCCATGTCACACCGCCCCGTCCTCACCGGGGCGCCCAGTCACTCTGGCCGCTTCCTCCTCCTGGGCGCTTCCCTGCGCAGGGCCCTCGCCTGGCTGTTCCACCGCCCGGAATGCCCTTCCCTCAGCCCCTGTCCTTCAGGGTCAGCTCAAGTGTCCCCCTGCCCCTCAAGAAGTCCCTTCTGTTAGTCTTCATGTCACTCCCTTTTCCAGGGGCCTGGTGGCGCTACTGACCATTTGCAGTTACTTTTATGGATTGGTTACTTACTGCCGGTCTCTTCGCTAGAATTCAACTCTGTGAGGAGGGGGAGGGGATTCTGATGGCCTGTTCTCTGCTCTGCCCCGGTGCCCAGCCTAGTGCCCAGCGCAGTGCCTGGCACACAGCGGGTGCCTGGAGGGCATTGCGAACACCTCTGGAGCTTTAACACACACATTTGGGTTCCCCCAGTCAGAGGCTCTCTGTGGCTGCCCATCGGAGTCCCCGGGGTGCCCGGGTCCCCCCAGGTGCTGGGGTGAGGCTCTGGCACCAGAATTTTAAGGAGCTCCGCAGGTGGCTTCCCTGTGCCCCTGGCGCCCAGACTGCTGTGCTGCGGGAGAGGCTGGCCGGCCGTGCTTTCTGTAGGCGATTCTCTGTGCAAGCTGATGAGGGGTCGTAGGGAGGACACCTCACCAGGCACCTAGCAGACACTTAGTAGATGTTCATTAAATTGCTGACGGAATGAAGAAGTTCATTGATCCCTAAAGGCTTTTAAGGACTTTGGGGATTAGTTGACATCGTATGCAAAATTTTCAATGAGCGACATGTATGCTTTCTCCTCCCCTAGGGAAGTCATAGCTTTCATCCAATTCTCAGGGTGTTCATGGTCCTCAAATGATCGATCGAGAAGCATAAAGATTCACGGGACTCCTGCCCTAGAGCTGGGAGGTGGGTGGCTCTGGCGCTTGGCTGGACTGGGACCCATTGGAAAGGGGTGCTGGTGCTGCTTGGGGTGCGGGGTGGGGGAAGGAGGCGCTCATCGGAGAGCAGGGTGTTGCCCAAGTGTCCCGGACTCTGCAGCCTCAGTTTCCCCATTTGCAAAGGGAGGCAGCTCTGTCAGTCTGCCTCCCTGCCTGGGCTTTGGGGTGCAGGTGGGGCGCTTCCCAGAATTTTTGGAGGAGAAAACATTGCTGGGGCAGTTAATTGCCCCCTGGGGTGAAGACTGGCCCTGACCGCCTGCCAGGGGGCTCCCTGGTGCTTTTCAGTTAGCACCCAATTAGCAGGAGCCCCGGGACCCAGAGAAGCTGAAGGGTGAGTGGCCTTTCATCGGGTTATTCCTGCTCACTCACAGAGAGGAGGAATTATTGGCAGAAAACGAGGATATAAACCCTAGCACCTTACTGAGGCGCTTGGAACCTGTCCAGCAGGCCGGCTCATTTTTAATGGCCCGGGACTGTAGTTCATCTGTTTAATTCAAACGAGGTGACATAATATCTTTCATTTGGACTTATTACCGGCGCCGCGGTGCTTCGGCTCCCAGCATCCTCCGGGCAGGACATTCTGCCGTTACTGCCCATTTTCTCTCTCTGGCCAAATTGAAAGTCTGTGGGAAGGGCCGCAGCCTCTGAAAGGAGCGATCAACAGAGAATAGGTCACAGCACCGGGCATTAAGGAATGGAAATGAATTCATTCTTTCCTCTGGAATAAGCAGCTGGACTTGGTCTCTGTGATCCATGAAATAGGCTGTCAGGAAAACGGGGAACGGGCGTCGGAAGCTCCCCGTGGCTCCTGCCCCTCGCCGTGGAGACAGGTGCTGCCGCCCATACAGCTGGGAAAAAGGGGGCCCACATTTGGGGGGGCCCAGTGGGCACCTGGAGCCTGGCTTCATTGGCCCTGGGAGGAGGGAGATGCATGACTGCCCCCATTTTGCAGATGAGGACAACAAGGCTCAGAGAGACCCAGAGACTTACTCAAGGTCACCAACGTGCAGACCTGCTTCAGTCTGGGGTGCGGACGGAGCCTTGGGAGTGGGAGTTTGTGCCCAAGGCCTCCAAGCCTCGTTGTCCTGCGGGCCAGCTGCTCAACATGCAGTGTCAGCGTATCGCGCGATTGGAACCCCCTGGCCCCTGGCGTGCATGCGGGCTAAGCGAGGGAGGACTCGGCACAGGGCTCACGCATAGGGTTTGCTCCCAATGTTGTCTCTGTTATTGTGAACTCCCACCTTTTCATGCCTGGGTGAGAGAGAGTGAGCCCGAAGCCTGGGAAACAAGGGACTGGCCTCAGGGCCCGTGTAGGTGGGGCTGGGGTCAGTCCCTTGGACTGAGCCGGGAGTCCCTGTTATTTCTGCTACACCAGGGCGTGGGAAGCCTGGGCTGGCCACAGGGTTTGAGATGATTCTTATGGAATCGCCCCCTTCTCTGCTGTATTTCTCTCCATCACAGCCGTTGCCAGCTCTATGCCCTAGCCTCGGCTCTTACGTTCACTGTTGATCTCCCATCAGCCCGAGCATCTCCCTGAGGGAGGGGTTTAGACTAGTTCACTCTGCATCCCGGGCCTAGAACTAGGGCTGGGGCAGAGGTCAGGCAGGTAAGCAGGTCCTGGAAGGGCAGGCTTAGATCCTGTCTTTAGGTAAAATGTTGACATTTTGTTCATCAATTTTTGCATTAATATCTATGTTTAATAATGGCATTAAAATAGCAATGATCTTGATTCTGAGTCTTTTGCTGTCTCTGGAAATTTGCCCCTGAGGTGAGTGCCTCCCCTGACACCCCTGCCTCCCCCTGGTCCTTGCTCTGCCCAGAGCGGTGCTGTCACCGACTAACGCATGGTGCCCTGTCAAGTACTGGGACTCATTTCCGGAGCCCTCGGAGGAGAGAGCATCTCCCAGTGGGTATCCCAGGCTCCTGCTATCCGAGGGGGCACTAGGCCCCCAACTGAGTTTCCTTCACTTGGTTCCGTAATTGGGGGGCAGCTGAGTATCTCTGATAACCGGGAGCTGAGGACCAAGGGTGTGTCCCGTCCAGGATCTGACTGTGGAACCAATTAGAACTCCGATCTCTCAGAATGAGTCCTGGGAAGAGGGAATGGGAGAAATCCACGGCCCCGGGAGCCTGTGCAGAATCCCACGTGGTCATTAGCGACCTCCCCACCCTCCTCTCCTGGATGTTGCTTGCAGTTGAGAGCCACATCGGGTTGTCCTGAGGTCGTTAGTGTAATGAGGCCTGGCTGTGCAGGGACACTGTCCCTTCTCCCACGCCCAGCCCCGGGCTGAGCCAGTGCGACACCCTGCTACCCCGTTTCAGTGGAATTTCAGACCTTGCCTCTACCTCTGTCTGTATTTCCCTTCAAGGCTGAGGTTTCATCGAGATGCATTCTTATAATTAAGGTGGGAGTGAGGAATAACCTCCTATATAATTTGAAATGGTAAAATTATTGATACCACTTTCAGTCTTAGCTTTAAATCTTCGCCACCAACGACTCCCCTATTAACGGGCCTAATTAAATCCATTTTTCAGGACGTCTTTGGCAAATTCCATTTTAGCAAAACTGTAGGAAGTGCAATTTGATTTGTCTCTGCTCCCCAGGGCTCTCCTCTAAAAGCGAAGAGGGGGTGGGTGCTTGCATCTCCTGTCTTATGTTAATTCACTCAACAATTTCTCATTGAGCACCTGCTTTGTGCGTTGGCCATGAACTAGGGGAGGAGAAGGGAGCAGCGAAAGGACAATAAAGTTCCTATCCTTATCTCCAGAAGGGAATGGGAATGGGGATCATTCATTCATTCATTCATTCACTTGTTTATTCGTTTATTCAACAAACTCATTGCATCATCAAGGAGGGGCCACTGTGCTCAGCCGGGTGCCTACAGGTGACGACCCCCCATGGCGGTCCCCACCCATCTGAGGTGGCGCAGACGGTTAACGTTTGCTGTGTAAATGCCCTATAGGCTTGAGCAGAGGGAACTCAGAGGGAAGCTCTGGATTCAGACTGGAAAGTTGGGTCAGGAAGGTTCCCAGGAGCTGAATATTTTTTTTAAATATATTTTATTGATTTTTTACAGAGAGGAAGTGAGAGAGATAGTCAGAAACATCAATGAGAGAGAAACATCGACCAGCGGCCTCCTGCACATCTCCCACTGGGGATGTGCCCGCAACCCAGGTACATGCCCTTGACCGGAATCGAACCTGGGACCTTTCAGTCCGCAGGCCGACGCTCTATCCACTGAGCCAAACCGGTTTCGGCAGGAGCTGAATATTAAGGGGGAAGTGGTCTCACCCACAAAGCAAGGTGCTCCAGGAGCGGGGCTAGGTGGGCACCGGCCTGGGAGAACACCGGAGGGCTGGGCGAGACTCTAAGCCACTGTTTGGTTCTGGCAGTGCCTCTCGGCTCTGGCAACTCTCCCAATGCCTGCCCCTCCCCCTGACCACATGAAGCATACTCTCTGGGGTGGTATCAAGGCACTGGCATTCCCTCAGAACTCTCAGGAGATGCCTGTGTTCAGCCAGGGTAGAGAGCCACGAGGCTAAAGCATGCATAGTGGTGAGCGATGAGGCTGGAGAGAGAGGCAGGGACCCGATTGTGAAGGGGTCTAGAAACCTCCCCTGAGGGTGGTGAGAACATTGAGTGTTTAAGCAGGGGGAGTAGGAGCTCATATTTCTGCATCTGAAGGAATTACTCTGCTAGCATGCGGAGGATGGGCTGGATTGGGGTCTCTGGTAAAGACTCTATTGCAGCAATCTGGTCTAGGACATGACCATGAGATGGAGAGGAGAAATATTCAACAGGCTGGACTGACGAGACTGGGTGGAGAATTGTGCGTCTCAGGCAAAGTAGAGGAAGCAGTTAAAGATAACTCCAGATGGCTTGGTGACTGGGTGGGTGATTGTGACATTAATCAGAATGGGCAGGGAAGAAACAATTTGGGTTTGGGAAATGTTGGAGGGATTTGATTGGCAGCTGGAGTTGAGATCTGACACTGGGGATGGTGCTCTGTGCAGGCAGAGCCACTGAGAAGTCAACTGTGCCTCCTAACCGGAAGGTGTATCACCCATGGAGAACGTGCAACCTCTGAGTGACAGGAGAAGACCAAGGGTGGTGGAGCCTGCAGGAATCTCAGCATTGCTAGGGCAGCTGGGGTGTCGAGGAACCAAGGAAGACCTTGACCTGAATGCAGACATGGGAGGAAAGCAGACGGACAGTGACGCCATGAAGCCACGGAAGGAAAGAGTTCCGAGAAGACAGTGGCAACATGTTGAAAGCTGTGCAGAGGCCAAATAAGATGGAAGGCCCATCTACACATTTGGGAGAATAGTTTTATTGAGTTTTTACAGAGAGGAAAGGAGAAAGATAGTTAGAAACATCGATGAGAGAGAAACATCGACCAGCCGCCTCCTGCACACTCCCCACTGGGGATGTGCCCGCAACCAAGGTATATGCCCTTGACCGGAATCGAACCTGGGACCTCCCAGTCCGCAGGCCGATGCTCTATCCACTGAGCCAAAGCGGTTTCGGCAAGAGAAACAGTTTTGATGAGGCACTGGGGTAGATGCCAGACGGCAGAGCGCATGGAAGAGAGATGGGTATAGCTAACATGCTGGTCCAAGACAGGGAAGCAAGAGATTGGCCGTGCCCAGAGGAGATGTTGGATTGAGCAGACGACACAGGACTGAGAGCAAGTAGTTTATTTGGGGGGTGATCCCAGAAAACACCAGTGGGGGAGTGTAGAAGGGAGACATAAAAAATAAGGGTATCAATAAAGGGTGCACCAGCAAGCAAGCAGCCACTATGGGAAGTGGGGCCTAACCTCGCTGGGTAGCTCTGGGAAACAGCACCGAGCCTGCACCTCAGATTTTCCCCGGGGGCAAGGAAGCTGGGGTACTTGCTCACCGACTCCCACCAGTCATTGGTTGAGGGCTATTCCTGGGGATTGGGGAAACATGAATTCCCAGGCACGTTTGGCCTGCCAAGTGCATGGGGAGAAGGGGCTTTGGCAGCCAGATAAAGTCCTCAGGCAAAGGGACAAAGGTGGCGGCAGTTGGCAGTTGGATTGAGGTGACGCCCATGGTAAAAGCTGAGGGGATATGAGGGCACTGAGAGCATCTGCTACAGGAGGGATTTAGTTCTTTCCAGATGGAAAAGAACGTGTTGTGATTGAAAGTTGAGGATGAAAGACAGAGGTTGAAGATACAAGTAAGTGGGAGTGAGTGATGGAGAGTGGTTCCAGAAGAATGGAAGGGGTTGTGAGTAAGAACGTAAGTGAAGGGTGTGGTTGACATGATAGAGCATTGTGGTTGGTAAGAGGCTGGGATTCAAGTTCAAGCAGAGGCTGAACATGTCATGGTCTCAGGTGTGGGTGGTTGAAGTGGATAGAAAGTGAAGTCCCGTGGATATGGGAAGTAAAGGTCGAGGGAGGCAAAGATGCGGACTTGTTCATTCACTTGGATGTCCCCAAGGACTTCAAGAAGAGGAAGACCAAGTCACCTGCCAGAAAGGAGCCATGTTGGTCAGAAGACCAGATCATCTGAAGAGGCATTATCTAACCGGCGAGTCTGGCTGGAAGTTA